TTTTCTTTTAAGTCAAAACCTTTTCTTATTAAAAGAATTATTTTATTTACCTCCCCATTATGCAAAATATAAAGAGATTGGGAGAAGGGGCTGTAGCTAGAAGACTAACAGCTATTGTTTGAAAACCATTTGGGTCTGAGAAAGGGTGGGACATGAATCCGCAGACTTAGGTTGGAGTCCTGGCTGACAGCATTTATTAACTGTGACCTCTTGTCAGCAACTTACACTTCTGAGTCTCAGTTTTCTCATCAGAAAATAGGGGTTATAAATCTTCCCACCACATTAGGTAGTGCACATGAATGCATTTTTGAAATTGTAAAACAATGCGAATACAACTGACTGCTGATAGGTACTACAGTTCTCATTCTTGCCTTGACGCTTTCCCAAGCCAGCTCTGTGATCTGAGGCTGTTCTTTTGATTTATGTGAAATAGTGCAGGAACTGGGGTGCATCCATGACTAAAGTGATCTCCACGTTGTTAAGAAAGTTATGTCAGAGGTAGAGGTCAGTAATGAGCTGATTTCCCACGTTATCAGGCTAATGTGTGACCCTATGAGAGCTTATGTGCTAGTTGTAATGAAATGAAATGCCAGCAAGTTATTTCCTTGAGGTTGGAATTCACCTTTGGTGTCATGCTGCCTTTTTCTTTTGTGATTGACATTAAATAAAACCATCTTCTCTTCAAGGAGGCAGCAGGTTTGTGATTTGCTCTGTGTTGTGGCGGTGAGGTGTTGGTATGGGTGTTTGGTGTGGTTTGAAGTAGAAAAGTGGGGAACAGAGGAGTGTACTTATCATTAAATATTAGTCACTTCCTCGTGGTGGTAGAGGTCATTATTTTATTGTTGAGCATCAGCTGTGATTTCTGACCATCTATGTTTTCTGCCTTTATTGAGAAGCTACCCTGCCCTTCCAAAATCTGTTTAATGCTCAACAGTTTTGCTGCAACAAAACTGATTAAATGACAGGTGTTTCTGAAATGGAACTTATTAAGTAGGTAAAGTCAAAATTGCATGTATCATGTCTATCTTGAAACACCAATGATTCATTAAAAAAAAAACTTTAGAACATACTTTAAAAATGCTTTGTTTTTGGTTTAAGTAAATTGGAGAGAGATAAGAGACTCTAGAATGAGGCTCAATCCTTATTGATTGTGCTCTTCTAGTGCCTTTAAAAATGAAATGTTTTTTCTTTATATCATTAACAATGACTTTGTCTTGGCAACATAATTATCCTCTATGCCGTGCCATATTTTAAGGAATTTTTCAAGCCATTTCTCTTCAGTCTCTCTGTTCCTCAACATTGTGTACATGCACAGTCAGATAGCACTACTAGGATTGTTATAGAAAAAGCAGCACCCTGAGAAGTCACCGCTTCCAAGTCTTGTGCCTGATGCTTTTGATATTTACCTTCATATTTCTGTGTAAATTGCTTACATTGTTTCTTTTCTGAATTTAGTTTGTTGTCACCGTTGGACTTAATATGGAAGATTTAACCTTATTTCACTATCCAGTGTGTGCTTCGCCCCCACTCCGCTCACAACCACTTTCTGGATCTCTCTCTTTCTCTTTTTCTCTCTTTCCACACCCGTACTTTTTAGACCTCTTCCCCCCAAAAGTTGTAATTTTGATTAAATATTTGATGTTCAGATTATTTTCATTATTAAAAGTAGCTCATATGTGAGCCCTGTATGATAGATACCTTGGTTTCTTTTTCTTTTCTTTACAACTTTAATATTTTCCCTGGAATGAACAATGTTTTTTCTTCTGTGCATTTACAACTGATTCCACCACAGCTCTGCCAGTTACAGTAGCATCTTAGTATGTTCACTTACCAGAAATACTCCCTTGGCTTTATCTTGAAGACATCTCATTTGGAGCATCTGTAAATTCATTGTTAGTGTTCAGATATTTGGTTATTTTAAGTGTACACATGCTAAGTGAGAAACATTCTTTTTTTATTGAGTGTTGTGTCATTTATTTTATTTGTTTTTTTAACCCAAGTTAAAAATATGCTCATCGTAGAATTTGTGTTCTTGGTATTTTTAAAAGTGGTTTTACATCTTTTTGTTTAATTATGTTTCTAAGTTTCTATAGCCAGAACAGCAGTGATTTTACTAGTATTATTTCAAACTTTTTAGGGTAAATTACCACAAAGTATAATCAACAAGTGTGCTCTATTTTAAAAAGAAGTTTTCCCCGATAGGTACTTTACTATTCCTTTGAAAATACAGCAAGTACTCTGTCTTTTGAGAGATAATTGTGTTAATAAAAGCTGCCAGTTAAAATCTTCTAGAGACTGCTATTTGAAGGAGTGTATTTCTCAGTGGAAAAATATCCTTGGTTTTTATACTCTTGTGGGAGCAGGTCATTTTTATGTGGCCTGCTCAGATCTGTTTTGTGTGTGTGTGTGTGTGTGTGTGTGTGTGTGTGTGTGTGTGTAGTATGTTCTTTTGGGATTACTGATGATTTTGTCTCTCAGTTTCTTCTCTCTAAATAGTTGTTTCCTTCCATTCAGCATGTATTATGAAGTGGCATTTAATAAGTGCCATCTTATTATATGCTCTGGCATGGTGTTGTCATGGCTACTTGGCATATCTGACCAGTGAATCAGAACCCCTTAACAACTGAATCTTAGACAATCCTTGATCAGATAGTTGAAGGATTATAAGCCAAATTTATAGAATATTTCAAGGAGGGCAGAGTGGTCAGTGGTATCAAATTCTGCTGATAGATCAAGAAAGGTGAGTCTTATGCATAGACCATTGCATTAAGCAACATGGAGGCTGTTGGTGGCCTTGATGGACAGTTTTGGGAGTGTGGTGGGGAGGAAGCCTAATTAGCATGGGGTTATGAGAAGACAAGAATCTGAGACAACAAATCGTTAAAAATTTTTGCTATAAAGAGGATCAGAGAATTGGTGAAGTAACTAGATGGTAAAGTAAGGTTAACAGAAAGTTTTGTACTATTATTTTAGTATGTGTGGAAATAAATTAGAGCTTTTAATGGCTTAAAGTTGACAGCTAAGTACTATTTTTCATACAGTGAAGCTGGAGATCGACTTCTAACCTGTCTTGGGTGTTCTGCTCAGGAGAAGCTCTTGGAGAAGAGGATAACTGAGGAGTCCAGATGGGTGGGACGGGTTAGCCAGGAAGATAAGGTGGGGCTCTGGGCACGGGGGCAGGGAGTACATTTATGCAGGGCCTAATACAGGCCACATTTTAGATAGAGGTCAGTCTGCCCCTGTGTACAGAAGAATGTTTTAGAAACGAAAGTTGGTATTTAAGTTGATTAGGTCATCCTACAGTTTGCTTGGTGGGTGGGGAGAGGGCAGGATGGATCTGCTCTAGGTTGCCAAGCAATGATGGGTAGGGAACACCTTTTTTTAATTGATCAGAATATTGATCATTCCCACTTTCCCTTGGAGAGTTAATACCATTTGGTATGGAAAAGTGGGAATATAGTTTTACTATATTTGTTTGGGATTTTATTCTTCGATGACTCAACAAATCTAGAAAGGACAAATTGCGGAGCACACTTCGACTCACAGCAGCTGGTTCCCTGAGGACTCTGGATGACACTGTAGTCAGGGCATCATGCAGAGTAAGGCCCTGTGAATGGAAGGGGCGCCAAGGTGTTTGTGGCATGTAGAGTGTCATGTGCATGTATGTTTTACAAACTTATCCTGTTCTGGATGAACAGTTGATTTGCATATCAAATCTCTTTTTAAAGAAGTCTAGTTAGATGAGGGTGCTGATTAACTGTAGGTTATTCACATTGTAGTTTTTATGATAATGTTTAGTAACTTTGAGAATTAGGGTCTGAGCTGTTTTCTATGCTGGTTAAAAAATGACAAAGGTTGCTAATTATGCCTTTTTTACAAGTGTTCTGTTTTAGTAAATCTTAGGTGTGGCTTTGTTAAGATCCTCTTGAGGGTTTCTTAGGGCTGTGGATTCCCTGGCCTCATCCCTGGAAGGTCTGAGTCAGTGGACCTGGGGTAGGGCCCAGGAATCTGTATTTAACTGTCATTAATCTTCCGCCTCCTCTCTCCCAACCTTTCCTTTAAGAAAGAACTGTACTTAACAACACTGTTTCGATTGGAAAAAAGGACTGTTAACTTGAATTGAACATTTTATTAGTAATTCTGTGTTGTGGATAATTCAGTAGCTAATGGCAAAAGGTACAATTTAGTATATTTTCATTTGAGTATACAGTGAGAATGATTGTAGAAGTTTAATAACAACTGTGTTCTCACCAAACAATTTTAAAACATGGTGTTTCTTACAGTGTGTGTGTATGTACACATGGACACAATACAAACCCATGCAGTGTACAAAATTTAAAATGAAGTCATTTACTTCTAATCTCACTTTTCAGAGAGAACCACTGCAAATTTTGGTGTGTATTTTTTTGGATATTTTTATATGTACATGTAAAAGTGTATGTAATTTTGTCTTCACAAAAACAGGCTCAAACCATACACATGGTTCTGAGCTTGCTTTGTTCACTTATGGTCTTGTCCAAATTATTCTGTGTCATGTATTCAGGCCTGTTATTAGGGAGTACTCTGAGCAACCCGCTATGTAAACTTCTTTTATTCAGATAGGCTGTGACATTAGTTTTTCAGGTATACACTGTGTTTTGCTTGCTTATTAGAATATTTCCGTGGATTGGATTGAGAGGTGGACAATTGGAAACCCAACATACTTTAGAGAAATCGATATTTCTGATGCAGTGCATTTTGCTGGTTTCTGCACTTCCTCTGTCATTCTTCTGTCATAATAGTGTATCAGCATCTGAGCAAAAGGAAAATGTATGTAAGAGTGACTCCATCATAAAAGGAAAACTGACTCAACAGCAGAGATAGGGAGCAACTTGAATTTCCCATCAATTGCAGTATTGTTGATGGGGTCAATTCCTTTTTATGGCAGGGAGTTATTGCAGTTAAAATTGTTGTGTTTCCTTTCAGTGATGCTAACCGGCTGTTTTTGATGTCTGCATTCTTTTGCACAGGATCCAAGCTACTGGATACAGGTGCATCGACTGGAACATGGAGATGGAGGAATACTGGATCTCGATGACATTCTCTGTGATGTAGCAGATGATAAAGACAGAGTGAGTTCAAGTCTAGGGGAAGCTGCCCTGAGTGCATTTTGTGAAGACTGGGGAGGGAGTGGGTAGGTGGGAATACTTTCCTTCCTGTTTTAGACACACACACTTTACAGAACATTTGGGCCACTTATATGCTATGTTTGTTTTATAATAAGTATTGAGAACCTTTACTGTCCTGAACCCTAGGGTGTAAATGCTTTTCTTGATACCTGGCACTCAGTGCTAAGTTTTAGCATTTTAAAATTACAGCTTTTTAAATGGAAATATCTTAAAAAGGTTTTTGTGCTATTTCCCCGCCTTGTTTTAACCAAACATAACATCTTTCCTGACAACTCAGGTCTGTCATTATGATTGCTTTGTTTCAATGTACAATCTACAGGTATCTGAGTTCTGATCCCCACGTTGGCCCATCCCAGCAGCTGGCCCGTGCGATTCAAAGCCAGCGTGCACCCCAGATATCTCCCTTGTGTGCAGGACTCTCAGAAAGCCATCCTTTTCTCCATGTTGCTCTCAGGGTGCTTTTACTGGAATGCCATCTTTAATGTAGTCTGTGACCGCCCACAGGCACTTCAGCGTTAACTTGTACCCACCCTTTTGTCTGCACTCTTTGAGGGGGAGAGTAGGGGATGGGGAGGAATGGCTCAATATTTTAAGAATCTGTGGTAGGATATTTGGTCCTGCATACAGAAGTCAGCAAATTCTTTATGGTAACAGGTGATGAGAATTGAGAGCAGGCTTTGCCCACAATCTCTTTGTGTCGACTCGTAACAAAATTATAGACGGGCTCACAGCAGCGTACACAATTGTGTCATCAAGGCCGTGTAGTAGCACAAGGTAGGTTAGACCACCGAGGTTACATCATGGGGTTGGAAGACCATACAACCATCTGTGCCCTGGTCCTGCTGGGGAGCGCTCTCCTGACAGGCCCTTTGTCTCATCCTCCTTGCGCTCTTGCACTTGGCTATGAGCGGGTGAGCGTGCTGTTGTCTCGTTTCCTCCTGTACCACGTTAGCATGGTGCCTGCTTCAGAATTGGCAGATGTCCTGTATGTTTTCTTGAAATCTTAAGAAAGATGAAAAGTTTTAAGTATCAAATATTGTGTACATTCAGAGATGTTTGATTCACTAGCACCTACCATGTTGGGGTTTGTCCCTAGTGGCTACTGTCAGCCAGGAGCACATTGTGTCAAAAATGCAGAACTCTTCTGCCCATTTATCAAACACTGCTATTTCTCTTGGTGCCATTTATCTGTTTTGGGCTTTTCAGTGAGCCGAGAAAAGGTGAATCTCATGCTCCTTTCCTGCAGTCCACATGAAGAATACCATCTAGAGACTTATAGACAGTTTATTGTGCAGTTGAGCTCCAGAGCTTAAGGCAACTGCAGATATTTGTGAAGGATTTAAATGGGTGCCCTTTGCTAGCCATAATATTAGTAAGACATGAACTAATGTTGTATCGATCTTTTAATATTTTCCTCTTTAACCTACCTCTTCCTTCCTTCTTTTGTTTTTTTCCTTCTATAAAAATAAAATAGCTCCTTATGAGAAAAAATAAACATATAAAAGAGGACGTAATCACTTGTAATTCCTTCGCTGCCCAAAGCTCGCCACTGTTGGAATATAAGTGAACTTTGCATCCTGACCTTTCTTCAGATACAGGCAGACACATTTTATCTTTCAAATAAAAAGGATTGAATGATAGCCTGCTTTTTACTTTGAGTTGATTACAAATATATTTCCGTGTCCATTAACCATAGCTTTATATCAGTCACCAAAATCTTTATTCATACATGCCAACATAGCTGCATATATTTTGTTTTATGAATCTAGTCTATTGCACTTTTGCACTTGTTTTGGCACTTAGATTACTATGGAGAAAGCTGAGGCGGTTGTCTATTACTTTCATCATTGGAATCTCTGAGCTTAAAGCAGCAGTGACGAGCATGCCTGTCTTTCCACCTGTGTTTCCGTTTTGATGGTGTGTAGATGTGGATTTCCCTCAAGTTGGTGCCATCCTAATTTACATTTTCACTTTGTGCCCTTTAGTAGAGGGAATAAGAACCAGTATATAAAATTGCCTCTGAGATATATCCAGCTTTGCTGTATTGCTTGGAATGATCTGCTGTGGATGTTGGGTGGTTGTATGAGAAAGATTGGTGGGGCTGTAACCAGTGCTCCTGAGAACGCTGAGCAGAATGGACTCATCACATTCAGCACCATGCCATATCCCTTAAAGTTTATGAATTATCGTTTCCTCTTTTTCATCCTTCTTCCCTGCTTCTGCAGTGAACATGCACACTCTAAACAGAGTTCATACTGGGAGTAGGAGAAAATTAAGATGCAGATATACAGCAGTATGATTTAAAAAATTTTTTCGAAATGTACCGAGACTAAATCATGGCCTAGAAAACAGCATTTTTGGTGGATGTTCCAAATGTACTTGAAAATAATGTGTATCCTGCAGTCATTGGATTCAAGATTCTGTAAAGATCAATTAGGTTAAGGTGGTTGATGTTCTTCTTTAGATCTTTGGGATAATTTTTTTAATCAGCAATGGAAAATACAGTCTGCTTTAACACAATTAGATCGCACACACACACAAAAAGCTAAGGATGAGGCAAACTGTATGATCTTCGAAAATAGCTGCATATTAAAGTCTTAGGTTACTAAATTGTATTTTAGATTTTGTATTCTTGTGCAAATTTGATGATGAATATTTTTTCTAGAATATTTTATTTCCTATGCAAGTTAATTCCTTTAACCTGAGAAAAATGTTTTAAGTATCAATAAGTGAATTAAGATTTTAGACAGTTTTATAGCATACATTTTAATTTTATTTTCCGAGTAGAAAAATGCTAGAGAATACAATGTACCACAGACTGATATATTTTTGAATCATTATTTTATCTACCCAGAAATACTTAAAAAATATGTTAATTAGAATTCTTGTGAATGCACTTCCTAGATTAAATAATTCATTTTATGTTGTCACTGTAAAAAAATAATGAATAATACAAAATTGCAACATCCAAATACACAGGTATTGTTGGATGCATTATTCAAACTGAGAGAATGTGTGTGATCACTTGCTTGGCCTTTTTCCATGGCTCTGAAATTTGATTCGGATCTTATCCTGCAGTGTTTTAAACTATTTTTGGCAGCTACTCTGAGTAAAGATCTTGATAACTGTTTTGATTTTAGGTTAAAAGAAAAAACATTACAGCTCTCAGAAACAATAAAATTTGTCTAAAAAAAGTTGTATTTTATGAAAAACCCCTGGGCACTTGTTTAAAGTGCAGATACCCAGTCTAGGGAGATAGGATCTCTGTGAGCCAGGCCTGGGCATCTGCATTTATAATCCTCCAGGTGGCACTGGGGCTCACTGAACTTTGAAATGTGGATTTAATGGCCCTGCCATCAGTGTCTGTGATGGAGAAAATTCTCTCAAGGGTGCAGATTTTATACTTGGTCACTGTGACTTTGTAAAATTATGAAAAATTATATTTAATAAATGTAGGATTCAGAAGCAATAATTCACATGCTAACCAAAGAAAATTGAAATGCTTAATTAAGCATAATTTTGCTCATTATCCTTTAATTATTAGCTTCATGCACAACACTGAGAAAATTTTCTTGTAGTATCTATACAGTTCCAGTGACCAGGGTTTACTCGAATTTGTTCAAAATGTTATGAACAAATTCGAGTATGGGTTGTCTCGAGTTCTTGGGGTAGGTTTGATTTTCTAAAATATAGAATATTCTAGATCTACTTTGGGCATAAAAATGTTTGCTTGTCCCTTCTCTACATTGTTGCTTTCTAGGAAGGGAAGAGAGAATCAGAGTGCACATGTTGTCATGGTGTTTCATTTATTCTTAGCATCTTATTCACAGTTTTCTCAGTTCACATTTTACGTATCATAATTTCACAAATTATGAAACACTGAAATGGTTTTCAGGTTATTGCTAGCACCATTTACAACAGCTGCCATGCCTTAGTCTCTGTGAGCTTCCGTAAGTGCTGAACTGTATTTTGTGTGACTTTCTTTTAGTATGGGCTTCATGATTTATTATTTATAATTTCTGTGAGTCTTCCCTCAGTTCTCAGTGGGTCTCAGGTACTACCATCTTTGCCTCTGTGTGCTACAATCAATTTAGAAACTTCCAAATAGATTACAGAATAAAAGTACTTGGCATTCACTTCCATCTGCATGTCAGCCTCTGGGATTGATTGTGAGAGCATGAATAAAGATTCAGGCACAACTGACCAAGAACGGAGAGTTATGGAGAAGCGCACTTTTGTGTGGATGATGGGCAAGAAGAAAGCCCTTTTCCTACACATGTCAGAGTCTTATTCATGTTTTTGGTTCTGAAGATGATTTAAGAAGTGATATCAAGTATTTTTCTTTGTTATAGTGGGGTGTAATTTTGTTTTGACCTAGAATGATGTCATACTTATTTTATTTTGGTGATGACCTTGTGAAATATCTTCCACTATTTGTTTCTTGCTCTTTGTGGAGGCAGAGTTGAATGGAATAGCAATTAAAACTCTTTTTGAAGGATTTGTATGTGTGGACTGGGGCACAGGCACCATAAAGGAATATCATGGAGACTTTTGGCTGCTTTTGTTGGAAAGAGCCCAGTATTGGCTGGGGGACAGTCTGGCCAGAGTCCTCAGAAGAATATTGAGAAAAAGAAACTTGTTGGAATTATGGGCAAGCAGTAGTTCCATATATTGGGTTAAAGCTAGCACAGAGGCATTTTATCACATTTTTTCATCATTCTCCTCGTTGATAGGTTCTAATTTATAAACTGATGTAGTTTTTGGGCCTCCAGTGTTAATAATATTACTGCCCTGTCAGACATTTTATATTAGTATTTCTAAAATGGGTGGTAATACAGTTTGCTTTGGAAATACATGCATGGCAGAAGTTTTGTAAAGAACATGCTTTAATTTGAAAAGTTGGTTATTTTCTACTTTTTTAGATGTTATTTTTTTATTTCCTA